ATCCTTATTTTTTCTTACTTTTGAGAAGCTGTTGAATGTTGTTGCAGTCGAAGATTTAATATATGCATTGAAATTTCCTAATTGGAAGTAGTTTATAGGGTTTATGCAATCCATAGATCACGTGGCAGATGGAATTCGTAGAACGTGTGACACAGATCATATATACTTTTCACATTCTGGCAGGTTCAAACAGGACAACTTCGAATTTTTGCTTATGTATTTGAAAATACACGCATGGCTGTATTCGTTTGTAATATTTTGCTCAGGTTCTATTGCTGCAAGTACATTCAAGGCTTCCAAAGCATGGGTCTACACAAATGAGAGCATGGTCGAATATTCGTTTTCATAAGCAAGAAAACAGATGCTGAATAGTTTTTCAGTTATTGCTATGAGATTTTACCACATCAGACCTTTCTCTACGTAACTTCTTTAAAAAATAGCTGCTGAAAGAGAGATAACAATATATGCAACTCTGTAATTGTCGTGATATTTGAAAAACGGGCGGAATTAGTTTTTCTTTTCTTTTCTTTTATTTAATTTAGTTTAATTTTAAGCCACATATCAAATGTCTTGTAATTTCCTGCAAGCAGATTTTACTGTTAACTGCATTTCGGTAATTAATAGATCCTTGCAGTCTTGGGACTAGCTGTGGCGATGACCCGAGGTAAATGTTTTCTTTTGAAGGGAAAACTTTCGAAGATATAACACGGAAAATAATTAGTTCGTTAGTTCTAAGCACTGGCCCTCCTCAGCCCACCTAGCAGGCGAAACCTACCATAAAAAAAAAAAAAAAAAAAAAAAAAAAAAAAAAAAAAAAAAAAAAAAAAAAACATAACGCAGATACATACATTTTAAACACTCTTGGTGAAATAGTATATAAATGTGTCGTTTCCATTTCTGTGTTTTTACCTAAGTTTAAAATCTTTATAAGTTTTACTTTCAATTAGTTGTTATTCAAATCTTCTTTATATTATCAAAATTCATCTTAAATTTATAAGTTACATTAATTATTTCTGTTTTCAGTATGATTTTCTGCTTTGTTATATCTCGATACCAATATTCTTCTTATTCTCATTCGCAGTTTGCATAATACCTCTTGCAAATTTTCTAAACAATTTATAGTTATAAAATAAATCCTCAAACTTCGCAAATTTATATTTTTCTCTCCCACTTCCTGTCAGGTAACAGTACTCAACGAAATGCTTTGAATCGCCGAATTTATTACAAACTTTACATATATCATTTTCCTAGAGGTGGAACCTTCTTAAATAAGCAAGGAACCTTCCATGTGCAGTCAGAATTTGATTGACATCTGCATCTCCTAAAAATTCCCATTTTTGTTTGCTAATTTTTATACATTTTAGATAGTTTTTGTTTCTTTTAGAGGTATCCCATAAATTTTTCCAGTCTCTAATAAGCTTGCCATATATTATAGTACATGTCTTCGTTTTTGGTTTTTAAATAAAAACCTTCGGTCCCAACCCCCAGGGCGGCTTCTTTCGCTAGAGCATCCGATCTCTTGGAAAATAGTCTCATATTTCTCTTACGAAATATTTTTAACCACCATAAAGTTCACTTGATTGTTGCACGACGAATTTACAAAAATATTCACCCAGCCAACCCATTCTACCATCCGGAATAAAACTCGAAAAGAAAGCACCAGCTTTCAGTGTAGTTAACTTCTCTGATACTATTGATAATACAAGTAACCGAGTTCCGGATAAATAATGTAATTTTATTTTACATTAAATATGAATAACACGAGGATTAAGGTAGAAGTATCGCGATGTCGATATATTCTTTACAAAATTTCTATATCTCGAGAATTTCACTAAGATTCTGCTATTAATACTAAACCTCCTGGTAATATAAATAGTCGATTAATATATTTTTCGTATGCTAAATTTATTGTTCATTGCATTGTTAGAGTAAAGTAAGCTGCAGAAATGTTATAAAGAAAACTGTAAGAAAGAATATGTATCCATGCGCAAATCTGTTGTGTATGTATTAGTAACTTTAAGCAGTGACATTTTAATGCAAACGATAAAGCCGTCATCTCCGAAAACCTCGTTTTTTAAGAAAGTACCTTATAACGAGATTGCCTAAATTAATCGTAGAATGACAAAATATTATAGCATACTTAATGCTGACTTGATTCATCAATGTAGCCTATACAGTATTTGTTTTCTTCGGTATTTTTAGTCTTTATGTCTGTATGGGTGAGTCACACAAGTATTTACAGCACATCGAGTAGTTCAGTTCATTTTATCGTATACATCTGTTTGACTAATTTAACAACGCAGCACACCAATAAATATTTACAATTGAATAATTGTAAATAATTATTTACATGCATTAGTTCAGATGCGTGCTTCGACAGATAATGAAATTTGATGCAATATTGCTGTTTGATTGTCTCTCGCTGGACGGATGAAAGCTTAACACGTTCTCTGCTAAAGCTCATATAGTACGTCCGTTCAAACACCGGAAGTTCCTATCTGCATTTTTACGCTTTTAAATTATTTTTCTGTTACTTTACCATTTAAATATAGATATAACAGACTACTTTTAGCTGTAAGTAATTTTTGTAAGTGTTTGCCTATGAAATAATGTTTTTGTCCCTGTGCCAGCTACGAGAAAACTAGGAATTAGATAAATAATACTAACCCGTTCTGCGCATTCACTCAAAATTCTTACACAAGATATATCATTTTCGATTAGTTTTATTTCAGGAATTTGAGAAATCCATTTATAACATTTTCCAAGTGAATAAGCCGAAGAAAATAGTATTGCATTTTGAACATTTATTACGTGCATTATTTTCTCCCTTCTTGTATACCAAATATCTAAACATTGCCTTCATTTGCTATGGTAATATCTGTACACGGTGAATTAGGTAAGACAATCAGTGACGAGTTATCTCGTCGCTAGAAAAACTCAGTTTGCCACTTACGAGTATTATCGTAGATGGCAGCGAAAGTGTTAAAGTTACTTTAATTACCCCTTGTAAGATGCCTAGTAAAGATTAAGAATTCAATGTAAAAAAAACATAATACTAATGGGAAGATAAGGTGAAAGGGTACTTGGATATTAACGCAATCATCTTGGCGAATTTCTGCAGAGGAAAAGGTAAAAGTTACTTATCGGATGCAAGTTGGTGGTTTTCGTGAAAAGATTCCCAAATATTTAGTGTAAGCTGGCAAACATGAAAAGTAAATATACTTCAGCAAAACAGGAAAAGTAAACATACTTCAGCAATTTAAAGTACTAATCTTAATTATTAAATAAAGATTACTTGACACATAAAATAAAATAAAACACATTCTTCTCCAAATCTTTCGGTAAATATTCTTATGCTATTCTTCTTTCTGCATTTCGTTTCCAGCAATTCGTTTCCGATTAAAAAAGGATAAGATAACTGCAGTGATTCAGCATCGAGCAAACCTCGATATTACTGGCTATAATAATTCCGTAATACTGGCTGTCTACCAAACTCATCTCATCATTGTTCCTTTTAGCGATTTTGAGGCAAAATGTTCTATCCCTTCATAAATTTACCAGCAGTTTCATCCACTGCTGGCAAATTCCACAAACGCATATTTTAACGTTAAGGCAAAAATATCATGATTTCTTTATAAAAACTGTTGGAACTTGGAATACAACAAAAAGAAAATATAAGAAAATGGGGACGTTGCTTGATTGAAGCTGCAATGAACATGGATTTTTATAAGCATGTTTGCCTGAAAATGGTTATGCGCATGGTTCCCAGAATTTGGCGACTTCTATTAAGGTAGTTGCGATAACACATAAATACAGGTGAAAGCAGTTAGGAGAATCAGTGTATAAAGAATGTATTGTACATATATTTAATTTCAACACTTAAATTTACAAGAGACAAATTGAGAAATCGCATGGGCTATCTGTGTTTAAATTTCAGTCTAAATGAGGACTTAGCATGATATTTTGACCGAGGTTGACTTGAAATTGTAACTTATAACTTACATTCTTCAAATATCGAAATTTGCCTCAACACAAATTAATTCAATAACGAGAATCATATATTATTAATTTGAATGGCTATTGCAGAATCTTATTTTCAGTACATAAGTCGTATTAATTTATTATTTCTACTGTATTGTTATTAAAGGTAAAATTACTATCACAGATTTCAGAATTCATAAACACCGGGTTGTATAATATTTTTTATTGAGGTTTTCCCGTAAGTTTACATTATGTGTCTTCAAGATGAAATTCCGTGCCAGTTAGCATTGTGCTAATAATATTAAACACTAGATATTTTACATTAGATAGAGAAAAAGTACTTTATGCACAGAATTTAAAAAATATTTTCTGATATTTATAATACAATACAAACATATCTATACTTATTTTACAGACTTATATCCATCTCTTTCCCCTAATTATTTCTAAATTTGGCTCTTTAGCAGAGAGTTTCTTAAATTATTGCGAATCTCCAAAATATTTATCAAAATATTTATTGAAAAATCTCTTGTATACAGGTTCAGATCTGCATTGTTCAATGTTTAATTATTCATAGAAACTTCTTAATAAGGTGCCTGAATTAATCGCGAAATCATGCAAGTAATAAAATTACTTGATCAACAGCTGAAGAGACTTTTCGCTTAAGTTTTTCAATTATCGTACAGAAAATGTTGTGCGAAACGTATATCATGATAAAAGAAAGAAATTATGCAAATAAATTTCGTCTTAAAAGTTTTTTTTTAAGTAATAGCAAAATAAACTCAGCCTTAGCCCAATTCACAATAAAAATTCTGTTTTTAATTCATTCCTATCGATGCTCAAGAGACCGTAAAATATATTCTTTTTAGGATTGCACATCTCCGCATAGTCTGAAGGCGTGTCGGTGATTTATTACTAAACAGAAAATGCAAAGCAATTTAACAAATATCACGCATACTTTTTGAGTATGGAATGCGCATGGTGGCTATAAAAGAGAGTAAAAGGAGAAGATCTGACGCATTTCACCAGAACACTGTCTCAGCGACAACAGCACTGCTTTCACCATGCCTTCTTCTCAAGTTCTCGGGGTTACTTTGGCATCTCTGTTGGTGTTTTTGGTCTGCAGTGCTACTGCACAAGGTAACTGATAATTATTTTTCCTGTAAAAATAGTCACAATATTGGAATTTCTTGCTTGCATTGCATTAGAAGCAATGAAGTAATTCATGAAAAAAATAACAAGTATTATTCATTCTATTTAAAGAAAGCCGATTCGAAAAGAAAAGTCTACATTAGTGTCTGCAGTAGACGATGTTTAATGTGACAACAGGTTAATGTTAACATTCGGATATTTCCATCGATATTTCATCCTCATTTTGCAGAAGTCCTGTTCGTTTGTATCCGAAAATATGGAAAATACATTTCTTATTCTAATCAACAGTTCGATTAATACGATAAAATTATTATAGAATATGTTTTCTAAACTAAAGTGAAGTCGCCAGATAAAGTCAAAATAATAATATAAAATTTTCAAATGATAGAGAAATGCAGCCAAGTAAGAGATTTAAGTCATCGGGTAGCTTGGTTTCGATTTTAGCCAACCATTTAAAATCAGCAAACAGGCAGCCTTAATATGACGAAGTTTTTGAATAACTTTACGATTTTGAAGGCGATCAGACATAGATCCCTTCTTTTGACAGAGTTCCCTTCTTTCTTCTTTTTCAAAAAAAAAAAAAAAAAAAAATTTTGCTCATTTTTTTTTGCCTGAAAAAAAAATCCTTCAACACAGACCAAACTAAACTAGGCCAAACTAAGGTTTTTTTTTATTGCTGTTTTATATTTTCCATTGATATGTTCTCTTTGAACGAAGGATGCTCTCCGAGTGATAAGATGATGACGCGTTTAACAGTAACGGTTACATGATTTTCGGATACGTTACAAAGAGCTCATAAACAAACTTTTATATTTGCCTAATTAAAATCTTGTGAAAGTACCTATTTATATGTTTCTAGTTACAATAAATTAGTTAAATTCCACTTGCTATTTTAAAGGATATTTTTTTTCTTATAGCTAAATATTACCATTAGCTTAATGTTAAGAAAATAGTCGTGAACAAATGTGATCACATTTAGCGGCGCCTGCTGTAATAAACTTAGTTACTATGTAGGAAATCTTCAGGTCATCTTACTTACATCTTAAAAAAGAAAAAAAAATGTGTAATGCTTTAGGTAACTTCAAATAGTGTAATTTCACAATTCAAGTTTCAATTGTAATATTTCTAATTACATATCTCATGTTTTAAATACATTTTTATTTCAATCAATCAGATTAAGAAGTAGGAAACTACATTTATTGCTTTTTAAATCGCATGGTTTGTGATAAGCAAATTAATCATGAAAGTTAACTTTACTAAATAGCAATGCGCTGGCGCGTGTAAGATAAAAGAAATTGATTTCAGGCAGTGGCAACGCATTGTTTTTAAATAACTGTGTTTTTTGATTAAAACTGACAAATACCTTACATTTTACCAACTGGCAACAGTGTGGTACGCTGGAGATAAAAATATTTGATTTTGAACGATGATACCACTGCTTGCTTTCAGATTACAGTTTATTAATCGAAATTTCATTAAATTGGTACGAAATAGAAAATAAATGCAAAATAAATTCGAAACTCAAAATTCCGTTTCCGAGGTGCATGAAGGCTATAGGTGTTCAAAATTTGGTGGCTGTAGGTGCCGTGTTTTTCAACAATGCGGAAAACACACAAGCATATATACATACAGATTCTTTATCATTTAAGGTTGTAGTAAAGAAGACAAGAGATAACAAATAAAAATATTTATTGCAAAAGGAAGCAGAAACATCACAGTATGCAACCCAATGTTGAGACACTGTATTTGGATTTGCCTGTGGTTATGTAGGAGTAGCTTACTGTTATGCGCGCACTTGCCTCCATATTAAGATATTTTCACACGGGAATAAAGCTTACAACAAGAGTCTCCTTAGTAATACAGCAGCTAAAATTGCATATTCGAAAAGACTGTGAAATCACAAGGTTGAAAACGCAGCAATACATTCGCATTTCTGTTATTTATGTACTTTTTCCTTCGAATGTATAAAACTATGTACAGAATTCTTTTTATGTTGGTTTCGCGTATTGTATTACAGTAAAATATGAAAACATCGTGAGAAATGAGGAGTAAGTTTTTGACTTTAAAGATGCAAGATTACTGAATAAGAGATAATACTGCATAAAATAAGCTTAATTACAAACTTTTTATGAATATCTTATCTGTCTTCAAAAGAGGATAACTACACACTTTCCGCGATATTTTCACATTTCAAATTTTGGATTTATATATTTCAAAATTAATTCTCAATCTCTTCAAAATTTGATTACAAGACATTTATATATTTGTACATCACATACCTAAATTCTTTCAAAATCGATTTAAAAAAATCTGCTCTCAAAAAGACTATATTTATACATAAGGATGCCTATTAGAATACATAACTAATTTAGGAATTTAAATTTAAAAGGAAGAAGATCATTTAAGAATGGAAGTTCAAGTTTTACTTATATGAGATTTGCTTTTACCATGCATCTCAGTTTGCAAAACTGCAACTAGAAATACATGGATATCTCAGAAAAATCCAATAGAGGGCAAAAATGTTGACGCATTTGATATTTCAGAGGAAAACAGAACGAAACAGAACACTCGAGTGCACTCAAAAACAGATACACTCGAGTGCAAAATTAAGACAAATAGCTAATTGTGTCTGTTTCTACGAAAAAGTATTGAACCAAAGGTACTAATTATGCCGTCAAAGAATTATGCAGCTATAGAGTCGATATTATTATGCAGCTATTATATAAGAATTATGCAGCTATAGAGCTATAGAGAGCTATAGAGTCGTGGAACGCTTGTGTATATGCTTACATAATATGTAAGCATATACACAAGCGTTTCCACGGAACTATATGGAAGGGTTATAAGCGCACGAGGGGTTTCCGGCAACTAGTATGCTCGTACTCCTTCACGACATTCGCTGTGTTTCTCGAAAGATTTAGGTATATTTTATAAAGTATTAAGTAAAATTAGTAGCTAAAAATGTATGGATGATAGAATGAATTGTCAGCAGATTGGTGGCAGGCCAGTTACAAGCACAGATGGTTACAGAGCTCACTGTAACGCCCATCGTCATCTGTAATTTGCGCATAAAGTTTCAGAACACTGACCATATCGAGAAGATATGAACAAGATCGACCAGGATCGATTCGTCCACAACGACGAATAAGGATCGTTATCTGGCACTTTCAGAGCTGCTGTTACAGCTCTCCATCTCTGATGTGAGCTGTATGCTGTCACTGGAACCCGAGTTTTATGGTCTACGGTTGCCCGAATGCTTCATGAGAAATGGTAGTATGTCAGAAAAACCACTGTTTGCTTCCTCCTTAACTGCAACACACAAAAGAGCGCGTTTAAGATGGTGCAAATAACATACTCCTTTAACCATGCAGTGATTCACAGTGCTTTTTAAAGATGGATGGGGATTCAGCCTGGGCGCTGATTATCGACGTACCTGTATCTGGAGAAAGCCTGGAACACGACACCATCCATTTTTCATCAGGGAAAAGCATCATTACGGTGGATAATTTGAGCAGGCATTTCGATGGCCGCATACCACTGTATGTGTTTTTCAAAGGAGCTCCGGACTGCTATTGAAGTATAGAGAGGACGTATAGTTTGATTTTTCCCGGGCGAAGTTGGTTTTGGGTTCTTGTAACGCCATAGAGCATGTCTGGTAAGCTCGTGGGAGGGGAATATCACGTCGCCATGTCTCTCCGAGAACCAGCCCAGTGTTAAAACCTGCCTTGCTGCAGGAGCGGCATCGACTGCCACAGGGACTCCTCAACTGCCTCTTGGCTAATATGCCGTCACGTTACGCGATCTGTCTGGGGGATCATACCCCATATTAGACTCATTTTCAGTTTGATATCAGAACGTGGATTTTGGATATCTTTGCACAATAAGCTTAATTGATGTTTACATAAAATGACTTTTGAATGATGTATTTGTTATTAATGTATATTTATACCAAATTTCAGTAAAATCTGTTCATTTCAGAAGTTTGACATAATGTGCAAGTTTTCTTAATTTTGCAAACGAATGAAAGCAGTGATAACTACTTTTTTCAAAAATTATGACCATATGTAAGTAGTTAATAATAATATAAAGTCTCAAGAAATGTAAACTAAAATATAATGTAAAAACAGAAAACTGACGATATTTCCTATTTATTGAAACAAAGGGAAAATTATTACTACAACTAAAAATATGAAGTAAATTACAAATAATATTTTGTTGCTAACGCGTGATTCTTGATTACAACTCTGAGTCTTTTCAGAATAAAACAGCATATTTGTAGAGTACCTCACTTTGGAATTCTAAGTTAATGTTGGAAGTGAGGAATCTAAGAACTAATAAGCGAATAATCGCTTGCGTTCGGTGACAAGAAACAACAAGATAGAAGGGTAACTAACTCTTTATTATTTTAATAAGATTTAACAAACTCCGCCTGGGAGTGTACAAGCAAAGCCCGCACTTGAACTAAAAAGACTAAGAATTAAAGTAAAATTAAGATTAACTAAAGAAGTATAGCCGAAGCTATCAAGTTTCAATTTGAGTTGGCCCCTTAACTTATTTTACTACGAAGCTTAGCAAAGGCCTGAGTACGGCCGAGCGTAATAACAGCTTTGAGAGAGAGAGAGAGCGGCCAAAAAGGCAGACTCGCGTAAATCAGAAACTCTGATTCTCTCTGACTCTGTAAGTAACTTCGTGGTTTAAATACCGCTCCTCCTCATTAAATATTCAGCAAGATTCCAAAACTACGTTCTGTACGGAAGTAGTAAGTTGAAGTTAAGAATTTGACAGGAAAGGAACTTTAAATTAAAATTTAACTGTTAATAAAATTAACATAATCCTTAACTATTGTTTGATGGATCAAGATGAAATTTTTGTTCACTTTTCGAAAATGGATTTTCAAATGGTACGTCTAATGCATACGCCATTTGTGGTAAAATTATTTCCATAAATATTTTAATGGGATTTCAGTCAAGGATCGTAGAGGATCTTACAGAATGTGGAATGCAGCAATAGATGAAAAAAGGCAGAAAAGTAACCCGGAGCATTATGCTTCGAGTTATGATGCAGTTGGAAGTAAGAACTGTACTGAAATTTATCTGCGCTTTGCTGGAGATTATCTAAAAAAGTATTTAAATACACCATTCTTTTCTATTGTAGTGACAATAAAGATATCATTTGCCACACTGTTAATCCACACACCATCCCACATGATGTTTGCTGGCTTGAATGCTTCTCACATATAACTGTACCTATGGCTTCTTCCAGATTAAATTTTGCCTCTTCAGCAAATATTAATGGGTTTACTTTTGTCTAAAGCACTACCTTTGATCAAAATACGTTATATTATTTAAAAAGATCTTTTGCAAAGGAAAATCGTTTTCTTTTCGATTAATTTTGCAGTTGTATGATCTTTCTCTAGTTGCTCTCTCGATTTATAACCAATAAGCTTTTTTTATATTTACTGCAACTTAATCTCGAGAATGGATTTCGTAGATCTTGATGAAAGTACAATTTTCTACTCCTGCCTAGATGTCAGTATAGACAGAGGACAATTCTTAGTTTATTTTTTAGGATAAGAGTGAATTCAAAATGGTTATGACATGTCAAAAGATAAATCACTTCTTATTAATTACCTTCAAGATTTCTGAATGATTTGTGCAGCTTGTGCAAACTCAAGAGGAATTTTCCTTCATATATTATTGTTTGAACAACCTATCGACTCCTTTCGATAATAATAGTAAATAGATTATAACTAACGCATTCCACTCTTCTTAGGGTAAGATAACATTTAAATTTTGTTACCTTTCCATATTAGGACATAAAAAGGATATGGTCAAGTTTTATTGGCATAAATATCAATATTATGTTGAAATATCTATTCACACAAACCATATGCGTGAATAATTTCTAAAGTTTCAAATACTAAAAATTTGTTAACAATATTTTCATTCAGTGTTATTAATTAAGAAGAATATCTAATTATTATAGAAATATTATTAATTGGACTATATATGTTTTTCATGTTTAATTTATGCAAAGAGAGTTTAAGTAGCTTGTATGCCAATATATATTTCACTACTATATGCAAATTCTCTTTGATTTCAAGTAAGTTTTATCCCGAAATGAATATGTTTTTGACTCAACCAGCACAAAACTGTTAGTATTATTTTTAAAATCATAAAACTAATGTGTTACAAAATTCAGGACAATTTCTATTTCTATTTATTTATTTATTTTACTAACAGGACTGACGATTGAGCTTTCTTTCAATGAAAAATTTCTTAACTGAACTCGACAGCTTTTCCACGAACCTTTTACTGAATATCTTGACTACAATTTCAGAATAATGGAGTTATTATGTTTCTTTTTAAAACTTTTTTTTTGCAGATGGAATTACTTATTTGACTAACGGTGCCAGAGTTCTCGTACCTGTTGGTCAAGAGATAAAAGACTTACCTCCAGTTAATCAAAAATCAGCTTCTGAGTACAGTGATGTCATTGATAATGCAGCTAAACCCGAAACTTTTAGCCCTTACGAGTTTGGATTTGCACTGAACGACGGAAATGGAACAACACAACATCGCCAAGAAATTAGGAAAGAAAATGGTGACGTTCAAGGCAGTTACGGATACGTGGATCCTCTCGGCGTTTACAGAAGAGTCGAATATTACACTGATGCTACAGGTTATCATGCCAAAGTCAAATCTAACGAGCCAGGACTTTCCAACAGAAACAGTGCCAACACAATTTTCGTTGTCGAGAATCCTCCAGCTTCTGCTATTTTTCCAGAACAACGACCAGTAATTGTAATACCAAGCAGACCTGTAGCTTGATTTCCTTCAGCAGACGACTTCAAAACATAGAAATAACGGACAAAATTTTGTTAAATTCGTTATACCTGAGTATCTGAATAAAGCATAGTTTAAGAATCTTGGTTTTATATTTCATGGAAAAGCCTTTTGAGGCAAGATGAATAAATATAGTTTAAAGTAGCTTTTCTTTCTATTTTCACCCTCCCTTTTTTGCATATTAAAAAAATAAAAAAAAAAAAAAAAAAAAAAAAAAAAAAAAAAAAAACAGATGAATACGGATATTCTAAATTCTTGAAGTTTTAAACAGTAAGTGAAGCAACTTTAGATTAAAATTGACTAAAGGAAATGTTTTGAAAAAGGGAAGTTTGATATAATAAACTTGAGCCATTACTGAACGAAGAAATATTATTAATAGTTTTTAAGGAAATTTCGAATTTAATAATATTTGTGTTAATTAGAGTTGATAATTAAGCTATTAAAAATCACATTTAAGTTAAGAATAAAACATTAAGAAAGCGATGCTAAAAAAATTGGAAACTCACGCAGAAATTTAATGTGAGATATGAGCCATAACTTTAAATTATTACTATAAACTATTAAGCAAAATTCTTTTGACGATATTAATAACTGCTCAGTTTTTTCCCATATACAATACAGCTTCCACCATTTAAGTCAAGGTTTTAAAATATTGAAATAAGCAGCAGTTTATTCTAACCCTTAACAGTTTTACTTAGGAAGGGCAGCTTATGTTCAGAATTTTATTTATATAGGAGGTTAAAAATTTCCTCGAAATTTAAAAACATTATACCTATACGCTTATCCTAACATTATACACGTTATTATCCAGATCATTCAGATTCCAAACTGGAAGTGCGTATGTTGACTTCAAATTTGAAGCGCTATATTATGCGTTATATATGAGTTTTCCTGTCTAAACTCTGTAATTGCCTGTTCTTCATTATTAAGTTATAAGATGAACAGTAGATTTATGGAGCAGCGATCCATCTCATTTGAACTTTTAGGGTCCCTCGTTACTATTATTTACATTTACTATTATTTAAAAATTAATTCATTAATAATTTGGGAGCACTTTGGAATGTGGGCTCTTCGCGATTTTCCATAAATTATTTTCTGAATAAGATGATTTTACACACTGAAAAGTAAAATACTAAAGCTATGTAAATAACCGTTGGAATAATGATGCTAGCTGGCCTAGGAACAGAATCTTTAAATTCTTTGCTTCAATTTTTTCATGCTTCAAAACACAACATAGCTCTTGCCTATATTTGACTTGAATAATTTGAAGACATTTTAAAAGAAAACATTTAAAGGAATATTCTTTTCCTCCATTTTGCATTTCTTCGGTAATGGTTAGCATACTCGGCGCGTATTCGATAGGTCCGGGTTCGAGTCCTGGGGAGAGCATTGCTCATTTTTCATGTTTCCTGCTTCAAATTAATCTAATTACTCTACACTGGCGCCCGATTTGAAAGATGGTGCATGATTATTCTTTACCACCAGGATTTGGCGATTCGATTCCCTAATCCCCGCCGCCCTTTAAAAGGAGGAATATTATCTCCCTTCTTTCTGCATGCATTTGTGGTTTGACGGTTAACACACTTAGCGCGAACTCGAGAGCTCCAGGTTCGAGTCCCGGAGAAGGCATTGCTCATTTTTTATGTCTCCCGCTTCAAAATAACCTAATGACTGTACAAGGAAACCGGAAAAATATATTAGTATTCACACGGAAATAGCCTTAATGTGCTTTGTCGTATTCAAATAACCTAACCTCAAATCTAACGCCCACTGGCAGCCGAGTGGCAATGTTAGTTCGAATTCGAGTTTACATCTTGACAAACAAGCTGCTGGCATGGGAAGTTCCGGGAGCCGAGGAGTGCTGCTCTATACATCTGCGGGATCCAGACAACACCCGATCAGTTTATGTAAGCCGCCCGGATATGCGAACCTACTCTCTCATGTTCAAATATGGTAGTTTTATTCCGTTTGTTGAAATACACTCATGTCCATAAATTAAGGATAATTCGGAGTCACGCGGAAATCGAACTCTAAAATAAATATATCACCTGTAAAATCACTACACACATCTTCAAAAATCATATGCAAATTTCAGGAAGTAACCAGATGACACCGATGGTACGTCACAATGACGAGAGTGTAAGAGAGTGATATATAAGGAATACAGGCAAAGAAGTAAAATTGTTCGCAGTGCGTTTTTATAAGCATTTCAGTGCAATAACCGAATAGTTATGACCCAAAGGACGCATTTGGATGATTTTTTACGTGATAGAATTATCGGCCGTCTGGAATGTGGGCGTACCCAACTGGAAGTATCAGACGAACTTGGAATTGCCCAGAGTGTCATCTCCAGGCTTTGGCAACGATTCCAAGATGATGGTAATGTGAGTAGACGTTACAGCACAGGTCGCCCCAGATTTACAACGCCGAATGAGGACCGGTATTTGGCAATTACTGCCAAAAGAAACAGGCGGAGCACAGCCTCAGACCTGTCTCGTCAGCTCTCTTCAGCCACTGGTACGACAATTTCAAGGCAGACCGTGTCCAGACGCTTATGGCAGATTTGTCTATATGCTCGTAGACCTGTCAGATGCTTTCCACTTACTGCAACTCACTGTCGTCTGCGGTTAGCCTGGAGTAGAGAGCATGCATTGTGGACACCGCAAAAGTGGGCTTGTGTGATGTTTTCTGACGAGTCCAGGTTTAGCTTGCAGTCTGATTCTCGCCGGACTTTCATATGGAGAGCTCCAGGAAAACATCCAGGAAAACCGTTACCACCAAGAAAACATCATTGAACGACACCGTTACGGTGGTGCAGGAGTGCTCGTTTGGGGTGGAATTATTCTGGGTTTCAGAACTGACCTGCATGTTCAAATTGGAACCATGACAAGCCAAATCTGACGGGGCGTCATTCTGGAACAACATGTACGTTTGTTTCGAGGCGCCATGGGCCCACAATTTGTGTTTATGGATGACAACGCCCGTCCTCACCGTGCAAACATCGTAAGCGAATGCCTTCAATCGGAGGATATCACACGTATGAACTGGCCAGCATTCTCACCGGACTTGAATCCAGTAGAGCACGTGTGGGACATGCTTGGCCGACGAGTTGCAGCCCGTCAACCTTCTCCTACATGTCTAACGGAACTTCGGAGAGCATTGCGTTTTGAGTGGTGTAATATCCCCCAAGATCAGATCGATAATTTGATACTAAGCCTGCCTAGGCGTTGTACGGACTGTATTGCATCGTCTGGGAGACATACAATGCATTAACAATCATACCAACAATGTAATATAGTTTTTTTTGTAAATAGGTTTTTTTTTTGTAATTTGCTCCAGGGAGAAAAAATCGCTAATTTTTTTTAATAATATCAAACATATAGCATCTTTTTTTGCTCTTTACCTTTTGTTTAATAAATAAGCTTTACAAATAAGTAAAATTTGTTTTGCTTCTAACTCTTCCTTTGCCTGATTTTGCATTATCCTTAATGTATGGGCATGAGTGTACTTAGCTGGGTTTCTTCTTTTATCACGATGCATCTGCAAACGATTTTGTTTCTGAGGTTGCTGGAGAGGAGCTGTTGCTTGGGCGGTAACTGGAGCTGAGGTTAAAAGGTGCCCGTATTTCTACTGTTAAGTGGTGGTCTGGTCCTTGCAATGTTCAAGGAGCCCCTAGAGCTTTAGCCATGTGGTCGCTCACCGCTGTTGGGAGCAGGTACCTGTTGCCTCTCATGCTCGTTGCAATTTCTGTACACTCGTTAAAAACTCGTTAGACTTTGTCTTCGCGAAAGGTGGAATTTGAAGGTGAAAGAGTCAAATCGTTTATGAATGTGGAAGTGTCGTGTGCTATTTGCATTTCATTCACGAAATTCAAATAAGGAGAAGATAATGCTGATCGGTAGGCTGTGAGCTCGAGCACAGTGCGTAAGTATATATTTAAATCAAATTATGAAATTCAACACAAAGCATAGAAAATAAAATCAAAGCAGTGCAACTAATGTTATAAGTTACTAACTGCAGTATATGAATGCAGCAAAGCAGAACTGTGAAAATGCTAAATTATTAAAACGTTAGGTGCTTCAAGAAGTGCTAAATTAAATAAAGTTAAACGCTATTAAAATGTAAAGATTATGCAGAATTCAAAATACTATTTTTAATTGCAAATATCTGAAGTACAAAGATCAAAATACAAAATTATTTATGCAAAGTACTACATTATGGTGTAAATTACAGTTCTTCTCTAATGTAGGTATAGAGAGTACGAGAAGTGATGTACAGGAAGAATTTGTAAGTGGTGAAAGAGAGAATTAGAAGTTAATTAAAAATTTATTAATTAAACCGGGGTTGCTGAACTGGAAACTGGAACGAAAAAGGAGAGTTAGAAGAGAGAATGTTATAAAAGGTAGTTCGTAGACTGTGGGATGGTTAAGAAACGAGAAACAAGAGAAATAAAACTCAGTAAAAAAGGGAGTCGAAAAGAAAGGGGAGTCGAAGAGAGTGTATAGAGATGCTAAAAGAAACTTTATTAAAGGGAAATAATTAAAAAGAGACGCAGTATTAACGCAGCATTAATTTGCGAAGAAATAATAATAAACAAATTCCCCCTCTCCTGTCGTTTCGCAATGCTGAACATGATACATGAGCACATCATTTTGAATGCATGATTTTACATTTTGTAGCTTGAATTTCTGAGGATTAATTTTTAAAATACTATCAAACGTACTGTAACTGTTTAAGTTCAATTGTTTCAGTTGTTATACTGGATTCTGAATACGAAGATCTGATTGTAACTTCTTTCAATTTTTATGATTTGTCACTTTCAAAAATATTTTAATACTAAAAGAATTAAAAACTAAAATTGTTCGGTGGTATTAACTTGTAATCCGATGTTTCGAATTTACAATTTTATCAGTTACCATTTTCATTTCTAAGACTCGCGAAGAAATCCTGGAAAGTTTCGAAAAAGCTCTACCTTCCCAAATATCACTAGTTTTTATATTTTTGATTGCTTATATGTACAGCGATTCAACATTTATTTATTTATTTATTGTCATTGTGCGCTTCCAAATATTCGTAGTCAT